TAGTGTTTCAGGAAGGAGGACGTGTGTGACCAGCCTGGTGTGATGTCTACTGAAATGACAACATGGGAGACCTTTGCATACGGTAAATGGAACCCACTGGGAATTCGAGTTACAGGGAATAACAGGCAACCCAGACATTTGGGACAGCTTCAGGACTCAGGAATGTGGCCTCACCCTTGGGACATAAGAGTCTCCACTGTGTTGTCACCCTTTCTCTAGGGCCATGATGTCTGACTGGAGCCGGCACCTGCCCAGCTAGATCTGTCAAAGCTACTTTTCCTAGAAGCTGCGGACAGCGACAGAAGTGAAAGGCTTGAGGACCCAGCCATTTCTTCATTGATCAGGGAAATTCCCTTTCAAGAGTCTCTTGGTTTTTTTGCTTAACATTAGTGTGTATATTGGGGTGGGGGGTTGTTTTTAAAATTATCTGGAATTGAGTTTTTATGGTTGTATCCACAAAACATTCGTTAATACACTTGCAACTTCTTAAGAATGTACGTAAACTCGTATTTGTGGAACCCACACACACACTGTGAGCATATTATTTATCCGGGGTTTTCGCACTCAAGCCTGAAAAAAAAAATACGAAGCTTCCCCTGCATCATAGATGACAAACGTGATCTGTCGAGATTTGCCACAGAACATAAAGATACCAAGTGCAAATTGAAAACTTGAAGAGTATGTGTCACAGTTTAAATGTCACCTTCTTTTTCTCTGGGCATCTCTCATTTCATGAGAAATAACAATAATAGTAATAGCAATCATAATAAAAGACAAAACGGAGCAGATACCATGCACGAGGCACTGGACAAAATACTCACCAGAGGCTTAATTTTATTCACCCCAAACCTATAAGGTAGACACTGCTGCTATCTCCCTATCATAAGGGAGGAAACAGACACAGAGAGGGTAAGTGAGCTCACCAAAGACGACACAAACACAGAGTCAGGTGTCCAGTTTCTTTTTTTATTTCTTAAGGGATAATGGGAACTTGTAAACTTAATATATGAATTGTTCAAGGACGTAGACGACTGCATTCTTACGCCTTGTTAATATATTTTTCAAGACTGGCAATGGAAGTTCAAAGGGCCTTAACTAAGAAGATTCATGGACTTCTTCCTGAACCGGGCTGCAAATCCATGCCTCATTGTTTTCATTTACTCCCAAATCGTGTGTGATTCAGTCAGTTTGGACTTCAGGCCTCTGAAAATCATAATTTCTCAGATGGGGCTAGCTTGCATTTCCAAACTCACTTCTCGAGAATAGATACGCCTACGGCCCGTAGTGAATAAGCTAGGATATTATCGTTCAATATACGCTCTCTGTATTATGTCTGCCCTTTCCTCTCTTCAGTTCTGCATCTCTAGATCCCATATCCTTAAGTCCTAAACTCTAGGTTGTTGACAAGAATCCAGGG